GGAGAGTTTGGAAAAGGTGATGGATGTCCTCCCCTGGGGTGGGATGGGTGGGAGGGTGGACTAGCATGAATGGTTCCTATGTTCCTTTCTAGTCCTTCCCCACTGCAAAAACTTAATGCAGTGAAAATGGACTAAATTAAATTAACGTAAGCCATTCAAAGTTACCGCGGTGGATTCTCTACAATGTAATTGATCAGCTTGTCATAGTCATCAACTTGCAACTTATGTTCTCATCCGGGCTTCTGATAACCAAGAGATTCCTAAACTCTCTGCAAATCTACTGTACTCATACTTCTAAATTTCATCAAAATCAAACATGAATTTCTAATGCACTCTGACATTTGCGATTACTACTATCAATAATGAAAACAAAGTGAACTCAGACATTTTTACTTGTTCCCAGATCCTTTGCAAGGGAAAGAAGCTCAAAGCGATGGAGTAGACTGGTCAGCAGTTACACGGTCCAAGAGAGCTATCACGGGTGTCAAAAGTACGTCTGATGAAATGTTCTCCTTTCTCCATCTCAACTCCTCTCTACCCTTTTGGTATTTTAGACGCTTAAATGACTGTAAGGGTCTTTTCATACCTTAACTGATAAGCGATTTTGCGTTTACAAGGCAATACCATCCGCTTAAACTTTCCCGACAACCTTCCCAGAAAGAATGGCACAGGACGAGTGGAAGTTTACCATGACAACCAATGGGGTACCGTGTGCGACAAAGCCTGGGACATCAAAGACGCCTTTGTTGTGTGTAATGAATTGGGAATGGTCAAAGCGATCCAGGAGACAAAGAAGGCCAAATATGGTCAGGGCCAAGGTCCCGTATGGCTTAGCAATGTGCAGTGCACGGGAGGAGAGAGGTCTTTGTCTAACTGCCCCCACTCTGGGTGGGGAAATGTTGGTAGTTGCACCCATGATAACGATGCAGGTGTAAAGTGTTTGCAAAAAGGTGAGAAGGAATTATAGGTAGGTCACGCGTGCATAATTAAAAGTTTAGAAGGTCTGTTAGAGTAACTATTACTTGCGTATAAAAACCTTATACTAGCTAAAGACTTATTTTCGATTGTCTTGGGTAAATATTGAATGCAGTCAACAGCCCGTTTATTCAGCTCCGCCATTAGGCCATTTGTGAGTTCTAAGGTCACTTACTTTCAAAAATGAGGTTGGGGAGAATTCTTCAATGTGAAAAGAAGATTTGTTTGGATGAGAATAACAAAGCACTTCCATGCACCCGTTTTGATTCTGATGACTTCCGTTCAGGTTGTCGATCTCAAGTTACTACTTATGCCACAGTCCTTCTCAGGACTTTCCTCACCTGAACAATCAGACTACGCGATCAAAAGAGTCTTCTGCTGATTACTAACTGAACTAATGCAGCAACCTTAAAATCTGAATAATGATTAATTTGCACTTACTTCGCAGGCCTTCCGCGTTTGATTGAGGTTGGCTGTTATAAAGATAGCAAATCCAATCGAGCCCTCCGAACTCTGTACGCTTTTCTACGAAAGGAAATCGATTGGTATAACCTAAGAAACATGGTTACCAAGTGTGCTGAAAAGGCCTGGGAACGAGGATTCCGGTATTAAGCCTTTATTTTGAGAAGTGACGCACATAAATATCTCTTAATAATATCAATACGTAAACAAGAAAAATAGGTGACGAAAATGATAAAATTCACAAAAGATTTCATTTATGTTATTTACCGAACGAGAGGTCCGTAAGGTGATGTCCATTTGTGTTCCCACAGTCGCGCCAGTTTTCACTTGTCCTTTCTAACCTGACGTCTAACCTTTCTAGCCCTTCGTCATTCGCTCTGACGAAGGGCTAACGCTCGAAACGTCAGCTTTTTAACTCTTTACGGTGGCCAATTTACATTATAACATAACCAAAGTAAAGCGCGCCCTCTGATTGGTCAATTTAGCGTCCCCCATTTGCCCATGGGTGTACGCTGCTGACGTGAGCAAATGCAAAGACTATTTTTCCGCGCGCGATTGTTTTTTCTGGTCACGCAAGATTTGTTAAGTAAAAGGGAACTCTTTAGCTACAATGTATCAATGTTATGTTATAAAACAAATGGTAAACACCACAGCGTACACTATTGAGTTATGGATGCACTTGGGAGGTTTGCTAAGCACTCAACAAGCTAGAGTCGCTCTCGGCTATCGCCTCGAGCGACTCTTACGCTTCTTTCGTGCTTAGCAACCTCCCGCGTGCATCCATAACTCAATAGTGTACGCTGTGGTGTTTACCATTTGTTAAATAGGTCTCTCACCATTTACTGAAGAACACGCAAACTATTTTGCTAAAATATCTTCTGCCAAAAAAAATTTGATCATTGCGACAAAACGGCAACTCCAGATATAGGTTGACAAGGGATTTTCCATTCAGAAAAAAAAGCTGTCGCAGGTCC